CTGAGCATGCATTCTGCTGCTGTTTGTTTTTTCTTCCCTACCTTTTCCCTTGGGCTTTCCATACAGTTTCGGTGAGGGATTTTAATGCAATTAAAATAGCTTTTTGGTATTAACCTTAGGGGTAAATCTATTAATTATTTTCTGTATGCAGTGGTAGCCAGCTCTGTCACAAGGAGCAGTACAGCAGTCCAGATTTGGAATCATCGTGTGCTTGTAAACTTGTCATAATTACCAGAAATGTTAGTTTTGCACTAGGGAATTGATTGTGTTGTATTTGTATGTGTGCTGTTATTTCTCGAGTGTGCTAATGAGTACGGACAGTTTAAACTTGCTTAGACAGTATTCTGAAATGGGTTAAGGTGGTGGTTATCTTTACTCTATAAAATTATCACAACTGAAATTTACCTCCACTCTCTTCCTGAAAGCACCAGGCCTCCGGCGAACGTTCTGCTAATCAATTCAGCTGCCCTCAATGCCATCACCCCCCTTAGAGTTATGAAACAAAATTTTAAGGGTGAGTCACCCAAACTCTTTTGTCCTTGTTTGGAGACTACATAATTGCCCTCCCTAGCTATGAATCTCTGCTCATCTACTATAAATTAGACTGTAAAGTCCTCAGGATAGGACTCTTGTCTTAATTTAGGTCTGTAGAGCATTGTGCATGCCCCTGGCATATCCAAGTAGCATAGATGTCATGGAATTTATGTATGTCATAAAATCTGAACAGGTATAGCTTAGAATGGGAACACTGCTTCATTAATATGGGGACAATCTATGTCTTGGGATTTAGCTACCCTCCTGCGTTTTACTAGCATCTCCTCAGGAGTGAGATCCTCAGCCACACTGCTTTTACGCACATTCCAACCTCTCAGGAACATGGCCACCTGCAAAATGAAGAAAATGAGACTTCGCTAATGGTCAGGGAATCAAAATAGTCCTGTTTCCCCACAACTGGGCCTTCAGTCTTATGTGGAATGAGGAGAGGGAACGGAACTGAACCTTGCACGAGAATGTTTGGAACAACAACTCAATTGCTTGACGTCACTGTGAGGGATCCCTCCCCTTGGCCCTTGCTTCATCCACAAGACTGCATGGCCAATGCTACGAAAGGCTGTTGAGAGATTTACTTGTAGCAGGACCTTTTCCCACCCGACAGACAGACTGCTCAGCCTGGAGGCTAAGAGGGACTAGGGAAAATGTGAAACTCGGATGATGCTCATTTCTCCCAAACCCTCTCAAAAATTAGGAAAAAGACGTATTAAGAGGAAAGTCAACAACTAATAAGATGGGCAGCATCCAGAGGTGGATTCATAGCCAAAGGCAGCTGTGTGGAGAGAAACTGTGTGTATTCCCCACTAGCAAAGATGTCAGCCCTGTGTAAATAGAGGCTGTGCATTGTTTGAAGACCACCTGGCTTTTTTCTTTCTTTCTTTTTCTTTCTCCCCTCTCCCTTTTTGTATTCTAAATCTGGGTTAGACAAAAGAACATGTCTTCTGGAGGGAGTAGGTCAAAATTCATCCCAACTCGTGTTTGTGGGGGGGACGCTACACCTGCCACCCTGTTGGCCAGGGTTAAAGCTCTTAGCTTTCCTCCACAACCTTTGAGGACTCAGGAATTAACTGCAGACATGAATGACACTCATCCAGGAAAGTATCTTAGGTATTAAAAGGGACTGTTCTGAGGCCTCTGTAAGAAATCATTTATAAACCCACAGCAGCAGAATCCCTGTACTGCAAAACACATAGTAATAATATTTTGCTCAACCAAGGGCCCTCAAGGAAGACCCATTGTTGCCGGCTGATGTTGGACTCAGAAACATGTTGCTGCATCATCTAGCTTTGAAAATGTGCACACGATGAGAGTGTAATCCCCAGGGTCGATTCCTGGCTGCAGAATCACAACATACCCGGGGCTCTCACTGTAGGTGTGTAGGACTCGATGAGTGAGTATTAGTAGAGCTGTGTTCTAGGAAAAATGGTGGAACTAATTGGATAGTGTATGTGCAATGTAAGGAGTCTATGCTGTCCCTGGTGTGTGTCTCTAGGCCTTTCTGTAATGCAGGAATGGGAGAAGTAGATGTAGGATTGAACCAGACTCTGGAATTGGTGGGAAGAATAGAACGATGGGGCTGGGAAGAGGAAAGAATCAAGGGTGAAGAGCAGCAAAGTTAAGCATATAAGCAATGGCACAGCAATCAATCCATTGGGTCTTGGAGGCACTTTTTAGCTCACTTCAAGAGATAACCGTTGTATCTCAGAGTGGAGAGGGAGTGCTAGCCTTTCATCATAATCTGAAAGCATCTATAGCTTGTATTCATTCAGATAATAGGAGCGGGGAGGGTTTGTGAGGATTTAGCGAGAGTTAATGCTTTCTTTCTATCTGCAGCAGCTGAAAACGGATAGTTCCAAAACTCTTTGTGTGCTAGTAATTTACGGAAACTGAGCTTTTCGAAGGAAACGGAGCCCTTGAAACAGCCTTAGTAGAATCTGTACTAGGGATAAAATGCAAAACTCTACTCTTCATAAAGTGTATTTTATTCCTGCTAAATCTTTGGTCCTTCTAAAAAGCCTGAACAGGGGAAAAAACTGTTCCATCCGTGCAGAAGTGTTACAGCTGAGAGTCATTCTCTTTCAGAGGCCAAGAAAAAAAAATGGCCTAATTTGTAATAGCTGGCATGCAGAATTGTGCGCACGCATTTCCATAAGCTTGAGCTGGAAGCAAAAATTGGAATTGAGTCCTGTAGCTATGCTGTGATACCTCATGTGTATGCATGGATGGTAATTTATTAATATAGTTTCCAGTTAATGAATGAAAACACCTGGAAACACCAAATTAGATAACAAGGCCAGCAGCATCTGCCTGCCTATGTTGCAGTTGTGGGAAATTAGCTAGGTGGAACACACCTACCTTTTCCTGAGGCAGTGCTTCGGGGTAGTGCCAAGATCTCTGGCCAAATGTCTAGATGAATATTCCTTCTCTGATTCAGATCTGAGGATCAATAAATCCCCATGCATCTAGAGCCTTATACAAGGTCCTCTTGCTTCAGCGGGAGACTTTCCATTGGCTTCAGAAGGCTTTGACTCAGGCCCATACTCACAAATCCCTATATTAAGTGTTTAACCTCATGTTTAACTTACATTACTTTTTATTTCCAAATACATTTCTTATTCAGTCTTGGTAAGCGTCTGCCAGTAATCCATGAAATGTAAATATTATTTACCCCATGGAAGAGGGAAAGGGAGAGAAAATGCTCCATCTAATTAACCAAAATTATGTTTCTCCTGTTAATCTTGCATTTGTAGAGTCCCTATTGTGAATTATTGCTGATAATTAGAGCAGCGTTATCTTAGCATGATTGTGGCATTCATAATATGTTTTTTCCTTGAATAGTTATTATATGTTTCAGCAAAAATCAATACATCATAGAGCCGTGTGCATGTCTGTATAGTATCGACAGATAAACATTTGCTACAGGTATAATTTAATGTCCGTTTATTAAGATATAACTATCAGGCCAGTATAAAGATACCTGCTATATCAAACAGACGTAGAGGGGTCACAGAATCTTGAATTATCTCAGTTTGTCATCAATCCGAGTCTACTCTTAGGACTGATGGCCTGCTGTAACCATGGAGCTGTTCTTGGTGCTGACATGACAAAGGGGCTGGTGGCAAGATGTTCTCCGCAGAGGTCCTCTGCTCCGGACGACACATCCTCCATGACATACCCAGTGTATGCTGGATCTTTAAGACAAGATCCACATGCAATAGTAGTTTTGTTTCCTGAGGGCTGTTAGACTTTGGCCTAATTCTGGTTGTTGGGTTGAGTGTATGGGGGTGATTAGAGAGCGTTAAGTGATACACAGGAGGTGAACTTGAATGATGTAGTCGTCTGTTCTGGCCTTAAACACTGACTCAGTTTCCCCAACTGTTTCCTCAATATGAGTGAGATATGATGAGTCATCGTTCAGGCATTATTTGACTGTCATTTGTGGTATTAGATTTTTGTACATGATCCCATGACATTCCATCTCGGATGCATTTATAAATAAAATAGAAGGCCAGATAGCTGGTTGATATGCATCAGGAAAGCTCTGTTGCCTTCAGTAGACTTATTCCTACTTATACCAGCTCAAGATCTGACACACTTAGGCTACATCTAGACTACAAGCCTCTTTCGAAACAGGCTTTTTCAAAAAAGCTTCTTTCAAAAGATATAATCCACATAGCAACCACTTTTTTTCAAAAAAGCGAGCCACTTTTTCAAAAGAGAGCACCCAGGCAATCTGGAGGCTCTGTTTTGAAAAAGCCCTGTTTGTAGTCAAGAATGCCTTTTTTCAAAAGAACTCTTTTGAAAAAAGGTGTTTTTCCTTGTAAAATGAGGTTTACTGTGGTCAAAAAACCCGCCATGTTCTTTCGATTTAATTTCGAAAGAACGTGGTGGCAGTCTAGATGCAGGGGATGTTTTTTCAAAATGACTACTGAAATGAGGCCTTACTGAGAGGGGAGAGACAGAATTATAATGTTTGAATGATAATTTATAGGTTTAAAAACTAGTTTGGACTTGGAGGTGGGGAAAGATTCTTCCCTTAATCTCTTTTACCCTCTGATAAAAGCAATTCTTTGATCTGAAGTTAGTTTACAATTCAACGCCTTTAAAATGCATTAAAAAGTGAAGGATAATTTTGAAATCTATGTTAACTTTCTACTGAAATAGTTTAAGCATTTTTCTCTTTTCTCTCAATACATAATAACAAAATTATTTTTCATCAATACAGATGAAATTGGCATTTTAGGGTGTATCTGTATCCGAAAGTGGTATAAATATAGGACTTTGAGATCTGTTAGCACTATTTTTTCTATATCGTATTCAGAGTGGAACTATAGGTGTCCATCCTGTACTCTTATCAAGAAAAAAAGGTGGTTTGCTGAATGTCTCGACTTTCTCTGTGCCTCCATCTTTGCTAATGACCCTTCTCTCTTCCTTTTTCCTCTTAACAGTGGCACCAAATTGGTCACCTCAAGTGGAGACACAACAGTCCGGATATGGGATTTCACAAAGGGTGAATGCATTCTGACTCTGGAAGGACACAGCCATGCAGTGTGGGACTGCTCGTGGCACGCTTGTGGAGATTTTGTGGCTTCTGCTTCCATGGATAACACCAGCAAAATATGGGACATTAACAGGTGTGTAGCTATTGAAAATCATTGCGTAACTGATGGATAATTATGAATATGAGCAAATGTAGCATGTTTCAGATCACTCGTACAGATCTATATTTAGGTCCCATTCCAGTAAAACTCATCATTAGCTTTCAGCATTAGTCTCACTGGTACCAACATTAGGTTAAAAAAACCAATATGCTTTGCTAGATCAAGACTTCAGTAAACAACAGAGAGGAAGCAGGTAATTTTGGAGTATTTCAGAACAAGATTGTTTTATTCTACATCTGAATTTCCTTGGTGTTTTTTCAAGGTCAATGTTTTGTGGGGTTTTGAGCCAGAAACTAAAATGTGTATTTTCTAGGCTTTGTTTTTTGGGGCATGACTGAAAACAAGGGGTTTTAAACTAAGATTGGACCAATGCAACAATATTTTACTTATTTTAGGTGTGATTCTTCCACTTTAATGGTGTTATATATTGGGTAATTTACATAAATGATTCCTTGTCCCACTCTAATTTCCCTCGCCTCTCAGATCCGGCTTTTGTCCCTTTTGCATTTGAATCAGACTCTCTTCTCTTTCATGCTTCCTGGTCCCAGCAGCAGGTCATTGAGAACACAGGAGAAATAGTCTTCTGCTTTTGCCTTCCATTCCTAAACCAGGCCTGGCCTACGGCAGTCTAAAGCTGCAAGTGCAGGGAAAGTCCAGCTCAGTCTTGGGCTCACTGCTGAAGATGCCTGCAGAGTTTTGTACCTTATCTGCAAGAATCTAGCGAGTCTCCACAGGGCATCTGTGAGCTGCAGTTCTTCGGAGCCTTAACGTTTGTCCAAGTGTGGGCAGACTTTCACAGGGACTGCAAAAAGCACAGTTGTGGCACAAAGGCACCTCTCCCGCAAAGTTTCAAGTCTCTGCAGCAAAAGGGTAGGGGCCACTAGATTACATCAAAACAAATTGGCCAGAATTTTTAATCATGTGCAGAACACTGATGTTTTCATTAGCCTTGTCCTTGGAAATGGGCGAACCATTATGATTGAAGTAACTAAATTTGACAGCAGACACCCCGCTTTGGAATTTAAGCCCAAACAATTAACGTTTAGTGATGATACAGGCAACCAAACCCAAGAGTTTTACAATGTGAAGTGTCGGGCAACTTTAATAAGAGGTCTACCTAACTACAGCAGCAGTCTTTCTGAAAAGAATTAATGGTTGGCATTCAGCTGAAACTCCTCATGACTTCATGTCTTGATCGCTTGCATAGTTGCCTCTTTTCTTAACTTCTTGTAACTTGATTATCTTTCAGCATACGTTAAAACAGATTTGTGACCTCTAATGAATAACACTAAGAATAGCATTAATTTTATGTCTGAGTGGTTTTAAATGTGCTAAGGGGTGGTTATGTTTAGACATCTTAAAATACCTCTGCCAAAGGAAGCTTTTGTTTTCAGAGAAATTAACGCAAAGCTTTGCCACCATCCCTCGCATTAATTTGCAACTAGCCTTTCTGTCTTCTCTATGTGTGTGGTGCATTTTGCATTAGGCAAGGGCTGAAGCTAAGCTACTAATACAACCACAAGCGAGCTGCACAGTGATAGTGTGAAAGACAATCATTCTGCTAAAGCTTTAAGTAATGAGAGAGTGGAAATGGTTGGTTAGAGTAGGAGGGAGTACAAATAGGGGCACAATATACCCTGTCAGACTTAGAAGACTCAATGGTTATTAAATTAGGAAGCTTATGTGGAACCTTCACTGGTTGATTTTTCCTCGTCACAGTAGCCTTTGTTCCTGCTTATTCATTTTGATCATATCAAGTCCAAAAGGCAATAATAGAATCTTTTCAGCACCTCTACTGAAGTTAGATTTCTTTGCATGATTTACTGTAGAAAAGATTTTCTGCAGCTACAGTATATACAAACTGAATATAGAAGACATTTGAAAATACGGTGCCCCACAAATAGAAAAATATTTACTGTTCCCTACAGCTGAATAGGAGATAACATTTCGCTTGTCTCCTAAGATGCCTCAAATTAATAAAAAGCTGGAAGGCACTGAAAATTCGATTGCATTTGAAAGTAGTGACTTTAAAGCTTTGCCCGCTGGTCCATGCCACATGAATCAAGAATTCTATGTGCATACTTTATGATGTCACAAAAGGCAACAGGGCTTGGATTCAGTGCACACTACACTGATAATAATGATTTGATTGTGAATGTATTTGTATTCTAGCAGCACTTCTAGGCCCCAGTCAGCACTTGGACTCCTATGCTGCTAGACAGAGCATACAGATGTAATGAAAACACGCTTCCCTCCAAAAAGAACTCACAGATCACATAAAGTGCCTTTAAAAATTACATTGTTTCAGCTGTGGCTATAGATGCAAGCTACTCTCTCTGGGTATGTCTACACTACCACCCTAATTCGAACTAGGGTGGTAACGTAGGCATACCGCACTTGCAAATGAAGCCCGGGATTTGAATTTCCCGGGCTTCATTTGCATAAGCCGGCCGGCGCCATTTTTAAATGCCGGCTTGTTCGAACCCCGTGCCGCGCGGCTACACGCGGCACGGGCTAGATAGTTCGAACGAGCAAGCCATTCCGCGAGGCGTACAGATAGTGCCGGGCTTCATTTGCAAGTGCGGTATGCCTACATTACCCCGCTAGTTCGAACTAGCGGGGTAGTGTAGACATATCCTATGTAAACTTAATGGGCCCCTTTGTACCACAGGGAGAAACTGTGTTACTAGCAACAGGAGATTCACCTGGTATAGAGTTGGTATTGAGGATCAACCAAATCCCTTGCTACAATCAGAGGGGGAAGGTAAAGGTGATGCCATTTGCCAAGTTTCACCGATATCCCTTACAGCTCTGGTTGAGGTCAGTGTACTCCCCATTCGGGTACCCATGCAAAAAAGTGTCACAGTCCTGCTCCAAATCCGGAGAGAGATGAGCCGGGGACTACACTCCAGTTGACATGGAAGGGAGAGATGCATCTTCTGTGACCTCTCTGATAGTGAGGTTCATCATAAATGTAACAAGAGCAAGGTCTGGAGCTCATAAGACAGGCTGGAGTGGTATTCCTGTCTGGTCTGGATTTTGACAGACAGTTCATCTGTAATGTGTTATATAATCAAGCATTGCTCTGCCAGGAAGCCATCAAGCTATTGACATAATGCCATCAACACCGGCTAATCCGACTGAACGGTTGTGGCAGAAATCCCTCCCTGCAATAGAGCCCAAGGCAGACACCTGCCATGAAAAATTTAATCCCAACCTGATAAAGGTACGAGTACGAGACCCATATCAGGAGAAACACAGCTGTTTGGTTGTTCTGGGTCTTTCCTCTTGCATTTTCATAGATTGCAGTTCATCGCATTTTAAATAGAACCGTTTTCTCTGAGCATGAGTTCCATGAGACCACACGGAACCCCCTGCTGTCTCCATTTTATGCTGCTATGGTCAATGCTGAAACCAATGCCTACAGGGAGTCAAATGGTACTGACGGTTCAGTGTGGACCTGCCGGCACCTGTCAGATTTTACCTTGGAAGTGGGTTTGGCTATCTTAGAGAAATGTCAGTTGTGAGCCATCAACTGGCTTGAAATCAAACCTTTTATGATGTGCTCTGCCTACTGCAAACTGCTCAAGTACTGAACCAGATGGTGCTGAGTTCACCAGACACCAGCTGTCTGTTCCCGACTGTTTCTTCCCATTACCAAAGCCTCCGACTCCACTAATCTGACTCTGCAAGTTCTTTTCCTTTTCACTTTAATTCAAAAAATCTAGAGTGCATGCTGTTGACAGTTCCCAGTTAAAGCTTCCTAAAAGAGCACCAAGGTTGTGCTATTCTAAGCCGCCAGCCACTTTCACCAGTTTCTGGCCTGACCTGCTGCTTCTTCAGCTGCCCTTCATCAGCAGATTGCTGTAAAGCTTTTGTTTTGTTGCTGGGCAGGCTGATTCCAAAGCGCAATAGCACCACATCTGTCATTTTACAGAACGTGAACAGTAGGCCAACCACCATTGAGAAAAGGGGATCTGATGGCAGAAAGTGGGATACCAGGAACACTAGAGGGAGGATGTAATAGGGCAGAGGTTCCCAATCTTTTTGAGTTTACAATCTATTAAAATTTCACAGACCCTTATACCTGGGCGAGAAGGAGAAAGAAAAGTAAGGAAAGGAAAGAAAAAAGAAAAGTAAGAGTCGGGCCCACTGGGATGGGCCTGATCCAAACACTTAAAACTTCCCACAGACCCACTGCAGTACCATCATAGACCACTACAGGTTGGGATCCACTGCAGTAGGGGACTGGATAATGGGATGGATCTGTCAGTAATTGCCATGTTGTGTTCATTGCCTGCCAAGCACCTGGCAGTGTCTACTATAGGAAGAGAGGATCCTGCGCTAGATGGATCATTAGTCTGATCTGGCATAGCCATTTTTATAGTTTTATAGGAAGTGTTGTAAGCCGGGGCCTAAGGGAAGGGATAAAAGTAAGACATTAAACCATATTAACTTATTAACAATACAGTGGTTACTGTAATTAAAGGCATCTTTTTTCCATTTTCTGTGTATTCTTTCCTTCGCTATGGACTGTTTTCCAGGGCTATCAAGTGATTACCACAATAAATTGTGATTAATTGCACAATTAAAAATAATAGCAATTAATTGTGCTGTTAATAATAGGATATCATTTATTTAAATATTTTGGATGTTTTCTACATTTTCAAAATATTTAGTTCAATTATAACACATCTTACAAAGTATACAGTACTCACTTTATATTTATTTTGATTAAAATATTTGCAAAAAAACAAAATAAATTCAATTTAATTCACTTAAAACAAGTTCTGCAGGGAAGTCTATTTATCATGAAGTTGAACTTACGAAGGTAGAATTCTGTACAAAAATAATTGCATTCAAAAACAGAACAATGTAAAACTTTAGAGCCTGTAAGTCCACTCAGTCCTACTTCTTGGTCAGACAATTGCTCAAACACATTTGGTTATCATTTACAGGAGGTAATGATGCCT